TGGGAAGTTCGGATCATTTTACCGACTCGGACCTTTGAGTCTCGTTCAGCAAAATTAACGAATCTTTTCTCGAGTCATTTCGTTTCATGTGTTACAAAACATTAAACATTTTAAAATACGTTGATGGTTGTATTTTTTTGTATTTGATCTCAGTATACCTATCAGTTTTTTTATGCATAATAGTGACCCTAGAATGTGATCAAACAGTTTAAAATAGCTGGGCTAAGATATATAACAATTTTTATGACTGCAGAAATATGTTAATTCCGTCCTCGCCTTATCCCACCGGTCACAATTGTGACCGAGCATAAAACACAATTTTTCACACACTTTTCCTAAAAAAATTCAAAAAATAATTATTGATTATTTCAAAGGGTTACTAATGACACATCATTTGGATATTTTCATGTCTGGGAAAAATTTGGGATTAAACGGGTTAATCAGCTTTTGGATGATGTATAAATCTCAATTTCGAGAAATTTACCCTTATGACTGGTTTTGTGGACCAGGGTCACATTTGCTAACATATCACAAGAACCTTGTGCCAAACCATAATTTCTATTTTCTTTTATGAATTTATTTATTTTAATTAAATCTCTTATTTGCTAACATTTCACAAGAAGTATGTGGCCAAACAGGTGATCTTTATTTTATTTTATATTTTTGTTTGCTTTTTCAGAGTGAAGCAATGATTTTAATTATTTTAATAAAATGTCTTATTTGCTAACATTTCAGCTAAAATTGGTCTCTAATATAGCTATTCTACAGCTAAATTCAAATGTAAGCTATATAAATGAAGATATCTTCGTAAAATAAGAATGTACTTTTAAGCCATGTTTACTGAGTCTTGTATTTTCATATGAGACTGTTTGAATGAACTTGTGTGCTTCGTTTTTGCTGCATTGTTTTCTTCAGTTATGTCTTACAGTCTTTTCATGTCTTTTTTAGGATGATTTCTTGGTCAGTAAACCAGTGAAGCAATATCTACGGAAATATGACAAACAGCTGAAAAGTTTTGCGGTGTCCAAAGCGCTGGACACTGCTCTGCAGGTGAACACACACCCGTGTGGATATAATGCAGTTTGATGTATGCTGTGACTGTTCAGATGAAGATATCGGTATATGTTTGTGCATGTTTCACAGACATGGACACGCACCAGTAAACCAGAGGTGACCGTAGCGGTTATCATAGAGCTCAACCGCAGAGGAACTCTGAAAAATGCTCTCGCAGGACGAAATGAAGAGAGCTTAACCAAGATCCTCAACTTCCTTCTCAAGTGAGTAAATCTCTCACATCTTTTCCGACACGCACATAGTCTTATGACTTCAGACTCCCATACAAAACACAATAGCTCATAAACAGTTGGAGGGGGAAATTTATGAACACTTCATAATTAAATTTTAAAAAATGAAAATTAAATATACAGATGTAGTACAGCCTCATCAGAAATGATTCTGGGGGACTTGAAGTTCTTCAGCGTAGGAAAGATTATGGAATTTTCCAAGATTACAAAATTTTCCAATTTGCTTGGATTTCTCAAAACTGTTTTTGGGTGAATGGGTTATATTTCACTTTAAAAATGTATAGATTAAAAGAAAATGTAATTTGCATAAAGGCAAAAAGAGTATATTTTGGTACATTGTTTTTATTATTTATTTATTTTGCGTTTTAAGGTTTTTGACATTTAAATGCATCATGTTTTGAGTTTTGTTCTCATTATTCTTGCTGATGATGATTACTGTTATACTATATACTACTATTTTTTTAGATAACAATTACTGCCATGTGTATATTTAATTTTAAATAATATCCTTTTCACATTTCAGTAATGAGAATTTACTGAAAATGTCATTAATTATCATAAAACTCTACAATGCAAAAGTCTTAAAGGAAATTTAATGGTATAATATATATATATTATAATGGTATATACCAGTATCACTGAAACATGTGATTGTGTTAGCCAATCAGAAAAGGTGCCAATTTGCATGTCAGTAATTGTGTGTGTGCATTACCTGTCTGTTGGAGGATGTGGTTATGGCAAAGGGCTAATCGGACAATCATTCAGTGGCTGACAGAAGTTAGCACAATATGACTTGTATATTACAACTTCTTCTTTTGGAGTTTTATGGCGGTTGGCAAACAAACGATAGGTGCATTCCCGCCACCTACTGGGCTGGAGTGGACCATTGGTGGAATAGGAACTAAATAAAAAATAACATATAATAATAATAGAAAAAATTTAAATAAAAAAATTATATTACAACTTAAAATGTATTATAGTATATAATCAAGGACCAAATGTAACCATGTGGATTGAATAATAATTTAAGGACCAATCATTGGAAAATCCATATCTTTAAAGCACTAATCTGACTATTGCTGACCTTGTGTGTAACCACAGATTTATGGCTGTATATCATTATATAAAATGTTTTACAGAGTATAGTTCTGTATAATTTTTGCATAATATAAAGACAATTCAGTATCCTGATGAAATTTTTATAAAAAGAATTGGTCATTTTGGGTTAATGTGGTATGCAAAAGATTCAAAAGATGCATGAAACTACTAGAAATAATTTACTATCAATAATGCTTTGACTTATGATGTGCTGCGGGAGGGCCAATTTAAAAATTCTGATCCCTATTATTATTATTGTTATTTAATGATGTGTTCTAATATATTTGTAAGTCTGGGTTAAGCTTTAAAATACTTTTAAGGTCCATTTATTAACTTCACATTATTGTCAGGAGTAAAATATGATGTTAAAACAAGACAAAATAAAAAATAAAATTTGTAAGGCTTAGATTTATATTAATTGCTTATGTTTAGATATACAGTAAGATGTTTTATTTTAACTTTTATTAAACCTCTTTAAAAAACAGTTATATATAAATATATATCATTAACAACAATCAATAATAAATACAGAAATATAAAAATATATACAAGATATACGTATATATTGCAAGCAATTTAGAGTTTTAAGGCACTCTTTTAAGTTTTTTATTTCAATAATTTTAGGATTGAAATAAAAGCATTTTTAAATGCCACAAAACTTTGAGCAACTTTAACAAATCTAAATTTGTGTAAATAAATTGTACCTATGATCAAACTATAATTAAACAAATACTGCAGAAAGACGAGCCATGAGGACGTGGCAGTTCTAACCCAATGACATAATCACGTTTGGATTGAAGTGGACCAATCGCCTAGCGACTCAGACGACGTCTGCACGGGCGGTCCTGAGTGAAATTCTCAATCTGATTGGTCCGTTAAACGAGGTTTGAGCGTTATATCCAATCTGATTGGTCAGTTCAGAAGGCCCTCCAAAGGAATTGTCTCCCAATTTCCCAAACTATTTTGACATCCGGAGTAATTGAGATCAGCCGGGCGGTGAGAAACGCTACAAAATTCACCAGGTAAAGTTGCAATTTTGCAATAAAACACAAAACCGTTCATTCATATGTTCTCTGATATGCAGTGTTATGCTAAGCTATTTTATTTATGTCGTTTGAGAGTTGCGGGTATTTGCACGAGGTTTAATGTGTGGAATTTTAAATGATGTTTGCATGTCTAAATACTGGGGATATTCATTCAAAAAATGCAATATAACACTTTATTACACTAGTATCAGGGTTGTGTGTGTGTGTGTGTGTGTGGGGTTGTGTGTGTGTGTGTGTGAGAGAGAGAGAGAGAGAGAGTGAGTGTGTGTAAATTCTTTATACAGAATTTACTGTGTGTGTGTGTAAATTCATTATACAGAATTTACTGTGTGTGTGTGTGTGTGAGACAATGTTGTCTGTTTACACCCACCCACACACACACACACACACACACACACACATATATACATGTGTGTACATATATACATATTACTGATTTTGCTGCTTTTTGATAGTGTTAAAAAAGTGTACGAGAAGATGGACCTGCTGCCGCTGTTTTTGGTCGTTGCCCTCTGCGTTCTTCAGTCCTCCAGCAAACCCATGCTGAAGAAGGACCGCGTCCATCACGACACCCCCCTCAGCAACAATGAGCACAATGATGAGGAGAACTTCAACTACGACCACGAGGTTTTTCTTGGGCAAGAGGAGGCAAAGACCTTCGACCAGCTCACGCCAGAGGAGAGCAAAGAGAGACTGGGGTAAAAACACACCACATTTTGATGAGCTCTTCACTTCAGAAAGTTCCCCAAATCATTCACTCTCTCTTTCTATCTACAGTAAGATTGCAGAAAAGATTGACGAGGATCATGACGGCTTTGTGACCGCTGATGAGATGAAACGCTGGATCAAACAAGCTCAGAAGCGATGGATCTATGACGATGTGGAGCGGCAGTGGCAGACTCACGATCACAACTCAGACGCTTATGTCTCCTGGGAGGAGTACAAGAACGCTACCTACGGCTACATCCTTGGTGTGTGTGATGTGTTTGAAACAATTTGGTTTTCAGTTCGATCTTTTGGACTGACTATCTACTATTGAAATCAAATCCATTTGTTAAGACTCTGTAGTCAATGTCTGACCTGAAAACAACTGATTTAAGTCAAGTCAAAAGAGAAAAAAGATCACATTTACTATGAATAGCTGGAAATCCAGACTAACATCATGTGTTTAGATGAAGCAGATCCCAAGGATGGTTTTAACTACAGGCAGATGATGGCCAGAGATGAGCGTCGTTTCAAGATGGCTAACTATGATGGTGACATGAGGGCCAATAAGGAAGAGTTTACAGCGTTTCTTCACCCAGAGGAGTTTGACTACATGAAGGATATCATAGTGCTGGTACGTCTGGACAATCAGAATGCTAAAAAATGTCTTCCATATACCTTTGCTGTTATCTTTTGTCAGTGTTTACTCACCCTCATGTTGTTCCAGACCCGTATGACAGACTTTCATCTGTAAAGAGGCCGTTGGCAGAATATCAATATGTATATCATAAATCATGATATACACTACCGGTCAAAGGTTTGGGATCAGTAAGACTTGTAATGTTTTTTTAAAGAGGTCTCTTATGCTCATCAAGGCTGCATTTATTTGATCAAAAATACAGAAAAAAAACAGTAATCTTGCAAAATGTTATTACAATATAAAATAATGGTTTCTATTTTAATATCCTTTAAAATATAATTTATTTCTGTGATGCAAAGCTGAATTTCCATCAGCCATTAC